TGTCTACCTAACAAACAAAATGAGTTTTTGCTGGAGCTAAGCAAACCATGGATGAATCATTTTTTTCGTTTAATCGTTTTTTTCATTGAACAAAAAAAAAAAAAAGACTTGACTCCTGCATCCACACATTCAAGGTGGATAGGGGAATCCTCCCAACTTTTCCTTTGTGTTCTGACAGTGGGGAGATTTCCCTGCTGTTTGAATACACTGATTGGTGGAGCTGGCTATAGGTGGCCAGATCAGTGTATTCTAATCAGATCAGTTGACAGAAATCTGACAGGGCAATTGAACAGAAGTCGATTGGTAAATCAACTTCTGTACAACCACTTCCAAACCAGCCAAATTTCAATCTATGTATGGTCGACTTTACATTAGTTGACTTGAGTTACATTAGTTGACATACCACTATTGCATATAAAAGAAATAATAAATAAAAATACATTAGGAATACAATCTCCATGTTCAGAAGGAAGATGTGGAAAAATACTAACTTCTTCAGCCTGCTTTTTACTATACTGTGTTCAATGCTAAATAAACAGAATATTTTGCACATGACATACTTATGTTACCAATTCCAGTCCCGAGTAAACAAAAAAGAACAGCACAATACAAGTGAACAGAGGCTGGGTGCCACTGGGCCATTGTGCAGTGTGAGCGGAATCCACAGACATTCCATTGTACTGGTACAGGTGTGTTTGTAAACTGAACAAAACTCCCCATCTAGTGGCATACACAATGTGCTTTCATTTCCCAGGTGCAGGTATTCACTGCCTCTGTCTGGAAGGAAATCTGGCAATTTGAAAGCATTAAATGTTATCCAATTGATGAGAAAATACAATTTTTTTAGTAAAGCATTTCTAGGAAGTGTTATGGATAGATGGTTCTAAACACTCCTAATTTCTGGGCCTCACTTGTGATTATTGGGCATTTATTTTATTATTATCTAGGGGGAAATACAGAGCATAAGTCACAGAAAATTGCACAAAGAGATTTTCCAACATTTTCTATTCCTATATTTATAACATTCTACAAAGTCATCCACAGCTCTGCTTTAAGCTACATCACCAGCCTTGTCTCAAAATACCATCCAAACTGTTTTCTTCTCCCAATACCTCCTGCTCTCTGTCTACCATGTGAACTCTTCCCATGCTCACCTTTTGGACTTCTCCAGAGCTTCTCCTATCTTCTGTAACTCCTTAAACCAATCTGCTACATCACCAACCTCATTTTGACATACAACCCAAAATGTCCCAAGAACTTTGTGCTATTTGGGTCCCATGCTCACCTCTAGGACTTCTCCAGAAGCTCTCCCATCCTCTGGAACTCCTTATCCCAATCTGTTTGACTGTCTCCTACTCTGCCTACATTTAGGCAATCCTTGGAGACCCATGTATAAAGGGAGGCCTATCTTCCCTCAAACTGTACTGTACTTTTATTTTCTCCATCAGCTAAACCCCTCAGTTATTACCTTTTGACCTACCGTTTTAGATTGTAAGCTCTAATGATCAGAGCCCTCTGATTGAGTTGAATACAATTGTATTGAATTGTGTTGTAACTATACTGTCTCCCTGCATTTTGTAAATCCTGTATAATAATGATAATAATATTAATAATATTCAATGTTATAGGTACTTTTCTATCACCTCTGGGTATAAATCTTGGTAGATCCCTGAGGTGCAATGACTGACATACGGGTGAACAGAAATACCTGCAGATATATAATACTAGCTACTTCAATTAAAAATGGGAAACAACAGGCAAGGATTCCTGGGATTGAACGGAGAAAGGTCTTTGGGGTAAAAGTCATTTTAACATAGTAAGAATCAAGGTGCATGTATCACCCATTGGGATTTTGTTAAGTGATTGCAAAGTCTATTTTTTAAAAAATAACAAGCATGTTATACATTTCTGCTCTGTGCAACAGAATCACACAGAGCATTCTCAATCCTCCCCTTCAGGGGTCCCCTGCCAGTACTTCTGGCTCCTACTCTTCCCAGTGTGCCACCATAGGAAGAAGCTTCCTATGGTGGCACATCCGCAGACTCGATTCTGAGCTGCACTGTCTACATCTATAGGCACAGACAGCTCGGCTTGCCCCCCACTCTCTCGTCATAGGATATGACTGAAAGCAGCAAAAGCCAAGGGCTCAGCAAAGCCAGTGAGAGTGGGGAGAGATGCTGCAGATGGACAAAGCACAGGATCGAGTGAGGTATGTATAAGGGGTGGTAAGGAGGTGATACAGATACTGGAACATTTTTTACCTTAAGGCAGAAAATGCATTAAGGTAAAAAAAGTGTTTAGGTTTTAGAACCGCTTTAAAGATGGCAGAGAACACTATTTATAACATACATATGGCCATCACAGCTCCATGAGCTTGGAGGACTTCCTTATGGACATTAAAGTGGTTGTAAAGGCTTAAGGTTTTTTATCTTCATGCACTCTATGAATGAAGGTAAAAACTTTCTGTGTGCATCAGCCCCCCCAGGCCCCCCACGTAATACTTATCTGAGTCCCATCACGATCCGGCGATGTGCACGAGAGCCTCAGCTCTTTGGGGACTCTCCCTCCTCATTGGCTGAGACAGCAGTGGGAGTCATTGGCTCCCACTCCTGTCAATCCCAGACATTGAGCCAATGAGGAGAGAAGGGGCAGGGCTAATCCATGGCTCCTTGTGTGAATGGACAGTGGCTCAGGAATGAGACTGCTTAGGTGCCCCCATAGAAAGCTCTGGGGACACTTGGCAGGACAGAGGAGCCAGGGGACTGGAGAAGAGGAGGATTAGGGCTGTTCTGTGTGCAAAACCACTGCACACAGCTGGTAAGTATTGTCTTTAAATTCACGTTAATATAAAGTTGCATCCTCCCTTTGCAACTTTAACAACCTCCACTCTTCTGGGAAGGCTTTCCACAAGTTTTTTTGAGCCTTTCTATGAAAATATGTGCCCATTCAGCCTAAAGCCCATCTTTGAGTACTGATGTTTAACGAGAAGATCTGGCTTGCAATGGGTATTCCAGTTTATTCCTGGAGAGTTCCTCCACTCATCAAACTCATGTCTTTAAGGAGCTAGCTTTGTGGACAAGGGTACAGTCATGCTGGAACAGAAAAATACCTTCTCCAAACTAGCGCTGCAAAGTTGGCAGTGTACCATTGATTAAAATTAATTTGTTTGCTGAAGCATTGCCATTACCCTTCATTGGAAAGTGCCTGAACTCAATAATTTAAAGGGATGTCTACATAAGTTTAATCGTATTGTGGTCATTCAAGTCCACACTGTTTTCTGGGAGACTTCCACTCTAGTTGAGGTTTCCACTGTAAAAGTATAAACATTAGTTACACAGAAATCATTAACAAGACAACATAAAGCAAAGTGCATATAAACCACCATCACGATGGGAAGAAGCAGATGACCTTTGTCTGTTTTATACTACTATTCTGTTATTGATATGGATCGAGTGGTTGTGGTGACACTGCATGTAGTGACTTATTCAAGATAAAATAACCATCCCACACTCCATTGCATGATAAGACGGAGAGACACATATGTCCCATCTCACCATAAAGCAGAAAATTAAGCTTTCTTTTACTACTTTCCTGTTTTATGATTATTTTCCTAGTGCTGGGCTAAAGACCAGCTGATTCTCATCTGCTGTAAAAGCACAATGTACAGTAATAAATATTATCTGTAAGATTTGCCGCTGTACTTTTTGCAGCCATGTCAGGTTCAGATTAGACCTAAAACATAGCATATGCTACAGAATATAAAGTGCAGTACAGATATAAAGTTTTCATGAATAACATTTGCAATAGTCAATATTTTAAATATTTTCATGTTACCTGAGAATTCTGGTGTAATAAAATATATTTCAAAGGGAAACTTCAGTGTATTTTCAAATTTAAACATATTTACTGAAACTTAAGCAGAAACACATTTTTGAAGTGGTTTTCACATTTCCACTTGCTTGCTGTCCTCTGTTTTAAATATTGTATCTAAGATATAGATTCCAGTCAATTGTATGCTTGGAACCCCACAATGTGGTTGTTGAAATAAAGCTCAGTTAGCCTCAGGGTACCCTTGAGATGACAATTGTGACATCAAATAATAGCATCTTTTCTATGAGAGATCCCAACCCCACCTGTAAGCAAGTTGAAGTTGGATCCACTCTGTGGCCCACTAGAAAGTGCTTCTCTTTTAAATTCTTCCAGGAAGGAGGATGAGTTAATTTCCTTCCTGGCAGGATCCGTTAAATACCTGGGGAGTAGCTTAGCTCAGGGTAGTTGCTGGCTATGGGAATAGGGGAGTACCATGGAAGAGTACAATCTAGAGACTGCGATGATACTTCTTGCTTCCCTTTGGAGTGGCTCCCTGGAGTTGGGCACAGAGGTACACCACTATTTTCACAGAGACTTGTTATATTTATCTGAATGGAAGGGATGCTAATTACCTGAAGACTGTTTGCTGTGAAGTGGAAGACGTATTTATTGCATTGATGGAACTGTGACTGTTGCAATAAAATCCATATTGGAACAAGGCTCTGGCTGCTTCCTGTGTCAGAAGTGAATTCCAATAACCTGTGACTGAGTGAGGGAAAGCAACCTGCTTGGCTGAATTATGCAGAGTATCCCTGAGCAACCCCCCCACGCACACACACACGCCTTGGTGAAGAGAATCCGGTATAACCATGGTAATGCACACCTTGTCTAGCTAGGGGCCAGCGGTGGATAGGCAAAAAGAGACACAGTCCTAGAATCCCACAAGTCTTCAGGCCTCCATATCATGGCACACATGTGTGGATGGCAGGTAGATGTACAAACCTGCAAGGGCTCTGGTTATCAGTCACAGTCAGTGAGTGAGCCTGGGTGAGCCCTCTTTGTTAAGTGGCCCAGATGGAGTGAGTCAGTGGGCTCTATCGGCGCAAAGGGTGCTCCCACTTACACACCAGCCTCTGTCTGGTGAGCAAAATTGTTGGGGCAAAAAATAAACTCTTCCTCTTCAACAACCTACTACCCAGGGGCGGACTGACTATTTGAGCATTTGGGCACTGCCCGAGGGCACGGGGTCAGAAGGGGCCCCATGAGATGCCCCTGGTACCTTTCATAGGCTTTTTTGGGTGTGGTTTGAGTGTGCGCGAGGACACAGGGGCCCCATGATCCCCTATTGCCCGGGGGGCCCCATGAGTTGTCAGTCCGCCCCTGCTACTACCTACTGGATTGTACATGCACGTCCCATTACCCTTGTGAGTCTATGAACTGTCTTTAAAAGAGTCTGTAGTTTTCAATGTAACCAAGTGCCCACCTGCTATAGGAGCGCTCGGCTCCCCCTCCCCACTGCAGAGTTGTCTGTGCTGCAGAGCAGGCTGTGTGTCCCAGCCTGCTTGTCTCCCCTTTCCCCCACCCCTACACTACGGACCAGGCAGGTAATTATATAGCGCCATCAATTTATGCAGCGCTTTACATATATATTGTACATTCACATCAGTCCCTAACCCTCAAGGGGTGTACAATCTAAGGTCCCTAACTCACATTCATACATACAAATACTAGGGTCAATTTGTACAGGATCCAATTAACCTACCTGCATGTCTTTGGAGTGTGAGTACCTAGAGGAAACCCACGCAGGTACAGGAGAACATGCAAACTCCAGGCAGGTGGTACCGTGGTTGGGATTTGAACCAATAACCCTAGTACTGCCAGGTGGAAGTGCTAACCACTAAGCCACTGTGCCACCCTTGAATGAAGAATCCTTTGCCATTGTTCTGCCTCCTTTTTCCCCTCCAGTTTTCAGCCACTCAGCACACTGGTGTTTATAGTTCTGGAGGGATGCTGCACTGTGGAAGCCATGGAGCTGTAAACTACCAGACCCAGAGAGACACCCTGATATTTGATGGGAGAGCAGAGCCTGAGAGGAGGTCTGGGCAGAGCAGTATGGGGAGCCAGAGTATGCAGACCTCTTGCAGTGTGTTCTTACACCAGGAGAGAGCCTTGTGATGGCCAGATTGCTGAGAACTGCACCATAAGAGTTTTAGCTGTTGGGGACTAGAGAGGCGCAGATCTGCTGCCTGAGTGTGTGTCCGTGCCTACCCCAAACAGAGTGGTCAAGGACCAGAGAGTTGAGCCTAAAGACCCTGATCATGAAGACTAAGCTACTGGGGCCAGGTTCTTGAGCACAGTGGGCCACCAAGCATTTAGGACAAGATTCACTGTGTGCCAGAATTGGTGAGCAGAATCAACCGCGCTTATCCCATCACTGTCAGCAGTTTAATATCTGTAGAGACTGCCCATTGATTAGCAGGCCAACAATAATTCAGTGCATGCAGTTTAAAGAGACAGTAACAAGTGCACCAATGTACAGATGGGCCCCAACATTAGCCAGCTTAAATTTGCAAATTAGATGCCAAGTATTATTCAAACACTTTCCAGGGCTGCCCCCGTTCAGGAACACTTGCATATTCAAATGTTTATGCTGTTTTCTTTATCGATGTATAATTTGGTTTAGTATTATTGTGGACTAGGTTAATTGCCATATTATAGTCTAGTATTCATGTTACTTAGTTTAAGGCATTCAAATGTATTCAGTTACCTGTTTATTACTTTTGTGCATTGCACAATATATTCACTTTAACTATTATCAAGTAGCTTGTGGTCTATTTCCTGTGTGCTAATATAGTGTTGGTGGTATATTAAAACTTAAGTTACAACCAGGTGTGTCAGAGGGGACAGAGTGGTTTACAGAGTCATGGCAAAACAAAGAACCTATCATACCAAGCGGCTTCTGCGAGGGTGAATGTGCTCCTATTTTCTGAGGGTGAATGGATCAAGCCTACATGTACAACCCTACTCTAAAGCAGCTTCTCACAACATTTTTATCATGAAAGTTTTTTTTTTTTATAAATAGTAACTATATACAAGAAATATACAGTAAGAAATATATAAGAAAATATACTCCTAGATTGTAAGCTCAAAAGAGCAGGGTCCTTGAATCCCTCGTGTTTTGTTTTGTTACTGTATTGTCTCATGTTCTGTCCCCCACTATAATGTACAACACTGAGCAAACCTTTTGGCGCTATATAAACACTGTATACCAGGGGCGGACTGACAACTCATGCGGCCCCCGGGCAATAGGGGATCATGGGGCCCCTGTGTCCTTGCACACACTCAAAAAAGCCTATGAAAAAGGTACCAGGGGCATCTCATGGGGCCCCTACTGACCCCGGGCCCTCGGGCAGTGCCTGAGTTTCCAAATGGTCAGTCCGCCCCTGCTGTATAATAATATTAATAAGAAGAAGAAATATATAGGAAACGTGGTTACGTTTGCTCCTATTTCCTCTGGTTTCTTTAAACATCCCCAGGGATAATAAAGTGAAATATATAATAAATAACCAATAAAGATAGAATCTACAACTTAATGTAGTAATTGCAGAAACTGAAAAATGATAAAAGAAACAACATAAATAAGTTGCAAAAAACATTTACAATAAGGAAATATTACAATGGAAATCCAAAAATATACTGCAAATGGAATCACACTGCACTTCCAAGTGCTGTTATTAAATGTTGTTTTATTCATGACATTTTCCTTTTTTTAAAGGTAATTTCAATTTCAGTAGAGGTTTTGTTGTGTTGAATAGCTAAATGAATAGCCCTGTTCACCAGACAGAAGGCTTTAATGCTGGGAGTATTTACATTATAAAACAGATTAGCTGTTCTACATACCTTAGAAATAAAGAAGATTAATGGGGAAATTGAGGTGGAATAATATAAATCCCCAACAAAAGGAACAAACAGACATCAATATTCATTTTAATGCCAGAGAATCTGGTGTATCCAGTTGCTATGCTGCACACAACCTGATATTATACACCTCAAGAGTCATAGAAGGGCAGGTGTTTTCATTTCCCCCTCCCATCTTCCTTTATCCCAACTGGAAAAAAATAATGGAGATGTTACATATATAGAATGAAAGAAGGGAGGAAAGGAAATGAAAGGAAAGGAAAGGAAAGAAAGGAGAGAGAGGAAAGAAGAAAGAAAAGAAAGAAGAAAGGTCAAGAGAGAGGGAGAAAGGAAGGAAGAAGGAAAGAAAGAAAGAATTGAATCAAGGAAGGAAGGGAAGAAAAGGGAGAGAGAAGGGAAGGGAAGGAGCATGGGAGGGAGAGAGAGGCACATGGAAGAAGGAAAGGAAGGGAAGGTAAATGGAAAAGCAAGGCTGGGTCTGTGACCCCTTTGAGTTCAGTTATGTCAGGGAAGAAAGCTCAAGTGGTGCTTAGTCTAGAGAATAACAGCTATGAGTCTTTATGTCTGATGGTGGATAACCTCCTGCCTATGACATTTATGTCCCTTCCTGAGACTAAAATGTTGCAGTTTAACTTTGGTTGTGCCAGCGGTGTTATTACCTTCAACCTCCGAGTGCCATACAAGGATCACTTTCCCTCTAGTGCTCAATATACAGATAATTACATCACTTCCTGAATGCAGAGGAAAAAGCCACTGGCTGAAAGCAGAGGATTGTGGAATGTGTACTTAACCTCGGAAACCACTAAGCAACTTATTCACTCCCTGGTTATATCTCACCTTGACTATTGTAACTCCCTCCTCATTGGCCTACCTCATCGCAGGCTATCCCCTCTTCAGTCTATCACGAATGCTGCTGCCAAACTCATCCACCTTACTAACCGTTCAGTATCTGCCACCCCCTCTCTGCCAATCCCTCCACTGGCTTCCCATTGCCCAACGGATAAAATTCAAAACATTAACAATAACATATAAAGCCATTTATAACTCTGTCCCAAATTACATCACCGATCTTGTCTCTAAATATCACCCAAACCGTACTCTCCGCTCCTCACAAGACCTCCTACTCTCTAGCTCCCTTGTCTCCTCCTCCCATGCTCATCTCCAGGACTTCTCCAGAGCTTCCCCCATCCTCTGGGACTGTCTACCCCAATTTATCAGACTATTACCTACTCTGCTCACTTTTAGGCGATCTCTGAAAACCTATCTCTTCAGGGAAGCCTATCCTGCCCTCAGCTAATAATGGAATCTTCTACTCTTCCAACCAGTCCATCCCCCACAGTTACTATCTTTTGTACCACTAGCCCCTCCCTCCTAGATTGTAAGCTCCAAGGAGCAGGGCCCTCCTATCCTCTTGTATTGAACTGTATTGTTGCTGTATTTTTTCTCCCGTTATATTGTAAAGCCTATTTAGAGGTTGGGGCCTCCAGTCAAGAGAATTGTATTGCTGGACTGCTGCTGTCACCGTATCGCTGTTTGGGCCCACATTCACTGCACGCCTATGTGGACATCACTGAGTTCCTAAGCCTACAGGGTGCCAGTCGGGCACCTCATAACTTGCTGTGGACATTCAAGAGCCTGCGCGGGGATGTCTTATTCACCGAGTCTGCTAATCTACCGGAGTAGCGAGCAGGCAACGCCCATCCTATTTAACATTGCACCTAAGGACACTGCATGCAGACACCATTACACCTGTTGGAGGGTCTTTATCGCAGATAACACACATTCAGCCTCATTGGATAATTGCTGTACCGTATATCTCTGGGCCCCGTCAAAGCTAGCTGAAGATTAAAGGATACCCATATTTCAAGGACCGCTTTTCCTTCAAAGGAAACTCTGCTGACAGAGCCAGTGGCAGAATATGAATTTCTTATTGTTGCTCTATTGTTTATTAAGGAGGAACTCTTACACTAGTCTTGCTATTATTGTTTACTCCATCTTGCTTGTGGCGTCAGGGTCTACAGTGAATGGACTGACTAAAAATCTCCTTCTCCCCCTCTTGTTTCTGGGGTCAAAAATCCATTCCAGCCTGTTTGCAATAATAATTGGATTTTTCTACATTGCTAATATGTTGTGTATTCTGTGATCCGTCTTTATTTTAATATCTTGCAGTTTGTATTTATTACAGGTACTCAAATAGCTCTATCAATTTTACGTAGTGCTTCACATATATATTGTACATTCACATTTGTCCCCAAACCTCAAGGAGCATACAATCTAAGGTCCCCAACTCACATACACATACTAGGGCCAATTTAGACAGGAGCCAATTGACCTACCACCATACTCCAAAAGATGAACGAACGAAACCAGCGCTCCAGTCTTCATACAACCAAAGTGATGCCAAAATGCCAACCGAAGAGGTGCTGCCCTTTTAAGATCCACTTTTACTGCCTTTTATCACGTTGGTTTGTGAGTATATATCCTCTCTTTCA